CTACTCTAGTAGAGTTTTGGGCTGAGGATAAATTAGTCCTAGCTATAGGTCTCTGTAATAATTTATATAAAACGTTTTAATTAATGTAATACCAAATTGTTTAATAAAGACCGAGGCCAGGCCTCACTCTAAAAAAAAAAAAAAAAAAAAAAAAAAAAAAACAAATAGTGCACAAGTTTCTGTACACCTAAGTAGCATCTAACCTAACTGTAACCTCTCTGTCTATACATCTGTTATGCTGTTACATATTTCAAAGTATGTCATCTGACTGTAGAGCTTCAAAAGGCCCCTCTGCTAACTAACCACTCACATTAGTCTTTTGTTAACAAGGCTCACCTTTGCAAAGTTTACCCAGACTCCAGCACTAACTTCATAGAATATTCCTAGTACTTATAGTATACATCTGCTTCTAATCTCAAACTCCAAATCCAGATAGCCTAGTAGACTATGGCCTGTCTCTGGTACCCCAGAGTCTGCCTCTCAAGATTCTTTTTCTCTGGTTTGAGACTTCTGATAGTCTGGTTCATAGTACTTTTTATTTAAGATTAGGGATGGTATTCAGTTAGCTTACCTTAATTTGGTTTGAAAACCCTCTAGTTTAAAAGATAAGTAGCTAAACCCAGTTTATAAGATTTATAATGTATGTAATTGATTTATATAAAAATTATAATAATTTTTTTTTATTGAACAGTTATCTTTCTAATCTATTTAATCAATTTACAGAAATTATCAAATTATTCAAATATTTTTTTACAAGATCAATATAATACTTTCACTATTTTGTTAACAATTACTAGTCAAATATATAATATCTTTTAACTATGCAACTTCAAGTAATAAAAAATAAAAAAAAACCTTATTCACAATTTATTTCATTATCAATATTTTTAATATCTTCTATGTTAACATTATTAATATTTTTACTAATTTTTTTACTGATCTAACTTTTTAGACATAATAATGCCTATGTAGTTTCAGGATCTAGCCTGTTAAGTACTTTTGAAATTGTAAGCTCAGCAATTGAAATACTTGTTTGCATAGCACACTTGTTGTTTGAATTATAAAATAGTCATGTGTCATAACTAACAAAACTGAAAATTAAACCTTATAAACTTTTTACCAATCTAATGAATTACAATTTTTATCAATAGGAATGACAAAATATCTTTTCAATTCATTGTTGACATTAGATTGGATAAATATAGTTGGACAAAATTGATTCACAAGATTTCTTAAATAGACATAGTCATTAGTTTGATTAACTAATATACTTTCTGGCAATAGTTCTGTTTGGTTTGGTGTATTTAATGTAGTAGTAGTTAAATAATAAATTATTTTACTATATAATAAAAATATTGCATTATTAGTTTTATCACCAAAGTATAAACTAAACACTTAACATGAGGATCTAATATAGTTGCAATTTTAATAGTATCATTGATATATAGATAATATTTATCAAATTTGTGCTGTATCAAATCAGCCATAATATATTGTATAGTATTATTAATAATTTCATATTCTAATTTTTGTTTTAGGGTCCAAAAAGTAAAA